ACACACACACACACACACACACAGAGAGAGAGAGAGAGAGAGAGAGAGAGAGAGAGAGAGAGAGAGAGAGAGAGAGAGAGAGAGAGAGAGAGAGCCCCACTAGTATGATCTGTTGTCACGGGTTGCCTCCACACACTTGTATGATCCGTTGTCACGGGTTGCCCCCACTTGTATCTTCCAACTCTTGGTTGAAAGCGGATGCAAAGCTCTTGTCAGTTGTGCTTGGAGTTGTGGTTTGGGTGGTTCGGTTTGTGTGAATTGAATGAATGAATGCATGGTTTACGACGCCTGCAACGCTTATAAATTTATTAAAATCTTGGAGTATGGAATGAAAATACTCCGCCACACACTTCATCTTCCGACTCTTGGGTGAAGCCGACGCAAAGCTCTTGTCAGCCTGTGATTGGAATCGTGGTCTCTGTGATTTGGTTGGTGTGAATTGAATGAATGGATGCATGGTTTATGAATTACAAGTTACAACCCTTACGACCTTATTAAATCTTTTTGATTATCGAATGAAAATATGTTGGTATGCATGTTTCATCCTAACAGGAGGGGTTAATATATGGATGGATTGGTGGGGCGTCATTCATAGCAGGTGCAAACAGTGCTGTCTGACAAAACTGGTACGCTGACAAGGAATGAAATGGAGTTTATCAGGTGCTCGATAGCCGGGGTTTCGTATGGAAGGGGAACGACAGAGGTGGAAAGAGCTGCCGCGGCAATGTTGGGGCAGTCGTTTCACAATGATGATGAAGGGTGTGCGGCAACGGAGATGCAGCCATTGGAAAAAGGGTTCAATTTCAGAGATATCAGGCTGTCAGATCAGAACTGGTTAAGTGAGACTAATGCCGATGTCATTAGAAGATTCCTTGAGATTTTGGCTGTATGCCACACAGTTATTCCCGATGGAGTGCCAGATCCATCCACCATCAGGTACCAGTTTGTCCAGATGGTTGTCCCCGTAAAATTTGTATGCAATTTAACACACTACATAGCCATTACTGTCAAGAGTAAGCAAATGGAATGCGTTGTTTTTGTGCATGTCATGCAATATCTTTCTTAGCAAAGCATTAAAAAAAAGAAAAAAAGATTCAGAACTGCAATTGAGAAATTTCTCTTGGTGGATCATAGGAGCGATCGCCTCTTGTGGAAGAGTTGTCCTGGAAGCAATACTGCAAAAAAAGAAGATTGCTGGCGCTTCACAATTATGAAGTTTTTCTACAGCTTTGTTTCCCTCTCCCCCCCTGCAGTTGTGTTGTTTCTTAGCGTCTACGGGCCTGTGCTGGTCAAGCCCGCGGCCGCATAAAGTGGTTTTTGATGACCTTAATGCTTGCTAATAATTTCTGTCTATCGCCCTGCGTGGTTGCTCTGTCTTGTTGCAGCTTGCAGTGTTCTCATTTGCAATGCTGTCAGTTGTTATCCCACCCCACCTCTTGCTGGCAACCCAACCCTCACCCCCCTTTCCCCCCCCTCCAATTCTTTTGGGGTGTGTGTGGGTGTGTGTGTGTGCATGCCTGTATTATCGGCCGATAGCCTGTATCCACATCTCTCCACATTCACCATCTGCCCCAAGTCTTTGAGGAAGCCGTAGCCGCATATGATTTCTCCCATGAGTGTTTTTTATGATGAACGCTGAGTGGGTATAGGAAGGCTTTGCATGAGCAGACTTCCAAGACAAGCATGTGGCTTTTCTTGCATGCCAGGGATCGAACCACGGACCTCTGGTTACGGGTTGCAGAGGCGCATCTGGCGGCCAAGGTTTGTCTGGTTTCTGTTTGAGTTGGTCCTCCTTATGTGCATTGTTCCTGGTTTGCTAACCTGGTCCATTAGGTCTGCATGCCGTACGAAGACCAGCCAGCAGAGCACTGCGTTACTCTGTTTTGTGGTTCCGAGTCCCGCGGACAGTTTTTTTTTTTTTTTTTTTTCAGCTTGCGGACAAAATTGAACCATTAGTTCCTGAATTTGGCGATCGACATTGGTGCACCAAGTGGCATCTAGGTATGTTGTCACTTTGCGCGTGTCTCAGCAGAGTTTCTTTCCTCTGCTGCCTCAAATGCACACTCCTTCACGGTGAGGTTCTGTTTTCACTTGGCACGTGTGTCAACCTAGGTTCCTTCCTCTGCTGCCTCAAATACACGCTCCTTCCCGGGGAATCTAAGTCGTCAAGACGAATCAGGTCATACTTGTCTGGGGCAGTCGTGAATGGATTTGAAGTTAGAATCATACTTGACGCCCTTGGATGCCCTTAATTAAAATTTCGCTTCACGAGGCCCACAGTGTGCAGCGCACTTTGGGCCTAAAAGAAAAGACGATATGTAATATTCGACCAATGGGGGTTTGTGGTTGAGTCGTGACAAAACAGTTCACAATTTTTTAGGTGCAATGATGCACCAGTGCACTAGTGCTGTGTTTGCTGTGCAGCATGTGTGCATGTTGTGTGCCTCTTGTGCGTGACAAGTAAATATTCGAATGTAGAACGAGGCTTGAGCAGCTGGCGGCAGCCAATTGAAAACAAATAGTATTGGCCCCTGCATGTCTTTCATGAAGTTGAATCGTTTACGTGCGACTGAGCATTTTGCCAGTAGCTTCACCTCCCATTTACTTCTCCCACTCTGGACTACCGTCTTCCCCCGAACATAACGCACCCTAAAAATGAATGTATACAAGCTATATTTCCGGCCAGATACAGCCAAAATGAGGGTGCGTTGTGTTCGGGGGAAGACGGTAGTGGCAGGTAGATACCATATAGTGAAAGGTGAAATTGAAAGAGGAATATAGCTTAGTTAAAATAAAAATAAAAATAAAGTATCCAGTATAATTTAAAGATTTGAAAAACATCATAGTGGTATGATGATGTGAGCTTTGAGCTTGAGCTGGTATAGTATTTGCAGGCCCATAATTGCCAGCATGCCCCAATATGTCAGGTGCGAAGTTGAACAACAAATTTAAAGATTGTGACACCGGATTCCTAAATCTTTGAGGGCTAGCATGACCCACTGCCTTCATGGGAACAAGAGTTGCGTTTTCCCAATGTGCTTTGGAAAACAAAGAACAAAATATTGAAATAAAGCAGTTGTAGTAAGGTTGTACGCAATTCTCCCGGTAACAAAATGATCTAGAACTAAGAAATTGAGCTTGTTGTCACCCTCGTCGCGGCTGTTGTTGCGGTACGTTGCTGTCGGTGTTGTCCTCGTTGTCATCGTCTCTGCTTCCTCCTCCTGATCTGGTTCTTGAATGCACGTCCACATGGTGTGCTGCAGATCAACCTCTCCTCTTTTACTGTTTCAGTGTTCTTCCTTCTGTTGTGGTCATCGACTATGCTGCTACGTGGCAGGATGACGACACTCCCTCCACTGCCCTCTGCATGCCTACTTTTTCGTCTTCTTCCTCCTGTTGTGTTCGTCCCCATGCCTGCTTTCTTCTTCTTCTTCTTCTTCCTGTCTTCTTCTTCATCCCACTTCTGCCCCTCTTGTGCTCAGCTCCCCCCCGGTTCCTTTTCCTCCCACTCTCTTGTCATTTCGGTGCCGAATATGCCACAACCTGGCATGCTTCAAACCGCTTATGGACTCCTGCTGCATGTTCCGTATGCCTTTTTACTATAGCTGTCGTGGGAACGGAGTGTAGTTCATGAAAGGACAGGAAACAGGGATTAGGGGTTGAGCTGGAACTGATATGGACTGATTTGGACGTATATGGTTGATGGACATTATCGTTGAGAGGGCAGGTACATGGCAGAGTCTCCAGATGAAGCGGCGCTTGTTGTTGCTGCGAAACGATTGGGTTTTTTCTTCTACAAGCGCTCAACCAAAGCAGTCTGGGTGAAGGAGTTCGGAACGAACGGCAGAGTCTGGGACAGAAAGTATGACATTCTCAATGTATTGGAGTTCAACAGTTCGCGGAAGCGGATGTCAGTTATTGTTCGGGATCCAGACGGGCAGCTACTCCTCTTCACTAAAGGCGCAGATAATGTGATATGCGAGCGACTCGGACGCAACGGCCAAGAGTTCAAGAGGATGACTGTGCTACACATGAACGAGTACGCGGAGGCAGGATTACGAACGCTAGCTTTGGCGTATGCTCCATTGGATGAGCAAATGTTTCTCACATGGAAGGTGAGCAAGTGTCCACTTTCACACAATGTTCTCGCAATCCATACGAGGACTGTTGGGATTCGGTTGCTTGCATATTGGATTACTTGGCGGCAGGGAACTGGCTGACAGTTCCCTGCCTATATACCAGGCATATAGGATTACTTGTCGGCAGGCAGCTCCCTGTCTATGTATGCGAACAAGTTGCCTTCTATTTAGCGGCCTGCTGATGTAACGTGATCCACCTGCTTAGTAATGGATCCTTCCCTCTGGCTTAGCATGGACGGTTCTCTGGGTTGTTCTGAAAGATCTGGTAAGAGGCTGTTTTTATGGGAAGCTGTTCCGGACAGTACAGTGGGTACTAAGATTCTGTGGGCTTGTATGTCCCTACTGTGGCTTGTTCTGTAGAAATCGCGAACTTGAGAATTGGCCGATCCGGGACGCCCGCGGTCCTACCGGCCGACGGTCCGGATTTCCGTGTGATCTTAAGACTTTAAGATCGTGCGACGATCCAGGCCGTCAGGCAAAGTGGACGGCCTTGATCGTTGCGTGGTCTTAAAGTCTTAAGATCGCGGCCATCGGCCCGGTAGAAAGAATGGGCGGCCTGGATCGTCGCGCCCGTTGGAAAGAGGGCCCACCATAAAAGAACGGCCCCGGCATCTGCTTGCGATTGACTTCGCGCCCTCGCTAGAGTCCAATGGCCCGGGATTTCGTGTGTGCTGTGTTGCAAGGCTGTGCTTGAAGGCCCCTCCGAGGTGACTCCGTGTCTGCCCACCTCCCCTCTGCCTCCCCACGGCATCTCCTCTCTCTCTCTACTTCCCCACCTCCGCCTCTGCCACCTCCCGTCCGCCTCCTCGCGCCATCTCCTCCCGGCATCTGTCCCACCAACTCCTCTCCGCCTCCGCCTCTGTATCCCGTGTGTGTGTGTGTGTGTG